GCGCTGGTGGCGCGGAACGGCTCCGAGACCCGTGGTGTGGCTGGGACGGGCGCGGGGGGGCGGGGGGCAGCGCAGCTGCCGGGCGGGAGCGGGGCCGATTGGGCGCTCCGCGGTGTGCCAGGGCCCACGGGCACCAGCACGCCTGCTGCAGGCGTGGGTTGGGCTGACTCTGCGGGGCTCGGGGTCCGCAGCACTGGCCTTTCGGGCTCTGGGACTGTGCCCAGGCTCTCGGAGAGAGGTGTCACAGGTGAGGGACTTGCAGGCGCAGCTGACGACCTGGCTGCCGTCACGACGAGTGCAGTAGTGCCCGCGGAGGGAATCGCAGCGGTGCCGTGGCCTGCAGTCGTGCTCTGCGAAGTCTGTGCTTTAGGGGGCCGCCTCCTCCTCTGACCCCTCTTTCTTCCCACCCTGTGTACTTTACTTCTGGTGATTTTGGTGTCAGTCTGAGGAGTAATACTAGGTGGAACTGTTGGCTTCAGACCTGTTGCATCCATTCCTTTGGTCCCAGTAGCCGCAGGGCTGGAGGAAGAACGCGGTCCTGCAGCGGGAAGGTGTTCGTCTGACTGACCACTGCCGTGCTGAATGGGTTTGTCTGCAGAGAAGAAAGCACTGCAGTGATTCCCACCTGTTGAAACGGGCGTAAGGTGCAAAGGAGGCATTTTGGGCACAGGTAACGCTGCTGTAGTTTTAGGAAGCGTGGCCGATACCTCTGTTGGTGGGAACACATCTGTCTGTGGTTTGGGCAGCTCCTTCAGAACCTCTTTTTGTGCACCATTTCCAAAGAGATGTTCCCAAGTAATTTCTCCTCTTTGGGAATTTCTTGCTGAGGTTGTAGGCTTAATGCTGGGTGAGACTGATTCAAGGGCAGGCGATGTCCTAATGCTTATGATGCATTTAAGTTCTGAAGCAGTGTGAGCCGTGGGGATTGCCCTTGTTGGTAGTTTGATGCTAGAAGGTTGGACTCCCTCAGCGTTTGTCCGAAACGGAGCACTGCTCTCTGATTTCCATTGAGGAGTATCTTGGGTGCCCTTTGGCGTGAGAGGCACGGCTGTCGTAGTGGCGTTTTGCCTTACAGTAGCATTGTTTTCGCTGAGGAATGCTGTGTTTTGCTGAGTACCCGCTGGGGGCTCCAATGGCGTATTCGTGGTAGAGGCGGAGGACAGGGGTGCTTCTGGGCTAAATGGGTTGATGGAGCTGCTTAAATTATTTAAGGCTGGCAAATTTGATACATATTTCATATTCAGTTGAACATCTCCAGCTGCACTCCCGCTGACAGAGCCTGGCCTCCCAGAACTGTATCTGTGCTCCTTCACACCTGGAATACGTCCTGGTCTAACAATTCGTCTCCTACCAGAAATTTTCCTTCGCCTTCCATATTGCTGCTGGGCCTGGGGTGTACGAGTTGTAACGTCCTGAATAACCTGAACTTGCTGATGAGCTGAGGCCAGCAGTGGCTTAGGACTTACTTGTTTCTGAGTACTATGGGAATAAACGTGACCAGCTTCAGGACTTGGTTCACTGACTGTCGCTACAGGTACCTGGTGATCCGTTTTGGTGGAAATCTTATCAGGAGACTCAGTAAAAGCATGTAGCTTGTCCACTGCGCTTTGGGAAGTTACGGACTCGCTGGTGGCTGTAACCTCTGTCGTGGATGTCGTAGATACAGACTTTAAATGCTGGTTATCGCCTTCCCCAGACTGCCCCAACCTCTGCCCAGCAGGGAAGAGGGTCGATGTTCTGCTCACTCCGTTTGATACAGCTGATTGGTTTATACCATTTGCTGATATTTGGCGTAAATCAGCTCTCTCCCACGAGTTTGCAATTGCAGGTTTTGGATCCGTTTGTGGCTGTCTGCTGTCACGTGACGCAGATGGAGCAAGAGGAGGGGGCAGGGGAGCTGCTTTCCCAGCCATGGTGCTGCTCGCCGGCAGCTCGGGCCCTGCCGTCACCGGCGCGGGCACCATGGCTGTCCCTCTTACTGGCATCATGAATTCTTCTTCTGGAGATGCGAGATCACCGGATGTCTCCTCCTCATCCTCACGTACTTCTGAGAGCTTATGGACTTGAGTAGGCGGTTTTGTTGCAGCTTCTCCTTGTTTTTCTACCGATGTCATGTTCCTCTTTGTTTTTTCCAAAAAGGCTGCCCAGCGCTGTGGATCGATTCTCCTGGCTGAGGAAACAAACTGTCTTCTGTGTCCTCCGAACCGCCTGCTTGCTTTGTCCCAGTAGTGCCTGGAAGTCATTCTCCCGTAGCTGCTCCTTGTGCGCGCGCTCTGTGCGACCTTGTTCCTGGATGCCGAGGCAGCGGATTCCCAACCAGCTGTCGGGGTAGCTGGGGCAGCTGAAGGATGTGTCTGTGTCGCAGCAGAGGCCAGCACTGCATTGCCGGAGCCATCGCCCTCTTCCCATTCTCCTACAGCTACGTGCTTTTTCTTCAGAGTGGTTTTGTCCTTTCTAACTAGCACTTGGAAAACCAAAAGATCAACGCCGTACTGGTTGGCTGCAACACATCTGAAATAGCCACTGTCTCGCTCTGTTACCCCTTGTATTCTCAAGGTACCGTTGTCAAAAATATGTCTGTTTCTTACAGAATGATGAAGAACCACACGCTCAGGCAACACCCAACTAATGGCAGCATCTGGAACAGCAGTGGACGTGCAGGGAAGGTACAGTGTGCTGCCAACAAACGTAGAGAGTTGGGCTCCATTTACACTGTTGTGTTCCACGTAAGGATCAACCACAGTAATTCTAAATGTGAGAGTGTCTGCGTCGTCGTAATTGGTGCCTATGCAGTGATAAAGCCCAGTGTCAAAGGTGTCGGCTGTCCGTAACATGAATGTTCCAGTCTTAACTACCATGATCCTGCCATCCTCGCTGAGATACGGAGCTCTCACTTTGCTCCCATCGGCCAATATCCACTCCACGGCAGGAGCTGGCTCCCCAGTCGCTTGGCACTCCAGTTCTACTGTCCCCCCAACTAGAACAGTGTGCTCCGTTTGTGTTCTGCTGTCCCTGGAGATGATGGTCCAGCTGTTTCTCGCCTGGTTTTCCTCACCGCTGGGCAAAACAATCCGAGCATCAGTGAAGTACTGGATGTGCAGTGTGTTCAGTGTGGTCGCTGTCCTGTCTAGCTGCAATGCCACTTTGCTTTGCATTAACCAAGATGGGTCAGCTCTCAGTTCAGCCTCTGTGTTGGTGAAAAGCTCATCTTTGTCGGAGTAGATTTGTTTATATTTGTAACTAACGAAAGGCACGTTAGTTGCTAGGCTGTCCCTTTCCAGTTTTAAGGGAGAACTGCTGTACAGTGCCAGTATGCTCCACAGCTGCTGGATGTGTTCATAATTGATGCCACACACAAGGGATGCTGAGAACGATGCTTTGAGCACTGTACTGTTGCCACTGGTGTCAAAGGAGATGGGAGACATTTCTTTCGGGTTCTGGACGTTGCAGACCAAGTCACCGCGCCTTCCTGTTTGGTCAGTCATGTTCAAAACCACGGATCCTATGGGAGCGGTGAAGTCCTTGGGAGACACGGAATGAAAATCCCCATCATCTGGCACCGTGAGGTTTTTAAATTTCAGGGAGTCCTGTATGGCTGGCTTAGTGCAGGTTAAAGATGCAGAAGGAACATCCACTAAGCTTTTCCCCTCACGGTTTTTGGGACTAGCACAAACTGGGCATAGCTGGGCACCGGAACTTCTGTCTTTTTTGCACTTTATAACATCTGAAGGGAAGAAAAATGCAGTAAGCTTTTGTGATACAATTTTTAGTACTAAAAAAGACATACAGCCACCAGCAAGTTGTTCTCTTGAATGAAATATTAACAAGGTTTATCTGAACGTAACCCATGAAGACCTAGAGTAACCCGAGAAAGGCTGTGGGTTTCCGCTGCCAGAGCTGCCCAGGGCCTGTTGCTGCCGTGGCTCGGCACAGTGTCCTCCCGTCCCCGCAGCTCTGCACGCAGCGAGGCCACGGCGCACAGCCTGGCTTCGTCCCGAGACGTGGCCCTGGCAGCCCGGGGTAATGCCATGCTGTCGCACGCAGCCGCTGCGCAGGGCAGCAGCCCAGGCAGCCCTGCCCTCCCAGTCCTTCGCGCTTTTTCCAAGCACAGAGTACAATGCGGCCTTTGCTCTTGCCAGACAAGTAAAAATGAGCTTCCTTATTCCTTGTGGGTGCTCCTGGTACACGGGAGCTTTGGACTGGCCAAGGAAAAAATTCCCATAAGGAAAGCTGCACTCGTGAGTGGCTGAGACCACTAGACTCATTTAATCTGAGGGAACTGAATGGGATTGATCTGATTACCCTGATTACACGCACCTACAAAAATCCTGTCTTCCAGTCTTTCCTGGGAGCTTATTTATTTTAAATAAATAAATAAACAAAGGACACTTACCTTTATCACAAAGAATAAGATGCTGTAACGTGATTACAAAGCATAAACAAAGCCTTCGGCTCACCTGCTCTCTCTCTTGCCCATTCTGCAAACCACTGGAGGCTGCAGTCACAGGACCACGGGTTTCCATGAAGGTAAATGCTCTCCAGCTCAGACATGTAGGAAAACACTTCTTGTGGTAGTGAAGTCAGCGCGTTGTTAGACAAATATATGTGCTTCATGAAGGATATTTTAAATATTTGGTTATAGCGCAAGGTGACGAAAGTATCTGGATGAAGCTGCTTAAGTAAATTTCCTTTCAAGTGGACCAACCTCAGCGACGTGAGTCCGTAGAAAATGTTGGGATTGACAAATTCTATTCTATTGTGATCCATGTGCAACTGTACCAAGCTCTTGAGACCATTAAAAACTCATTTTTAAGACATTTTGATGAAAAAGTAACAAGCGTGTAATATTAACCCACGTTATACTGTTGTAAGACTCCCAACAAATTTTGATTGGTGGTTACTCTGTGAAGTGAAAGTACTTCACCAGACCAGTGATACGAGTGATTGGAGAAAAACTCAGCAGGAGGAATTATTTTTAAAAGCAATGTTAGCTGCAGGACTGCAAAGATGCTTTCTTGTTCCAGCAGCCCATCAGAGTGACACTTCTGCAGTCACATTTGCAAAACGCAGCGATTAAAAAGTAAAATCAAGCAATGCTTATTTCTCACTCAAAAAAATCCGAATTAAACCGCACTTATGAGAAGGGCAATCAGAATTTGACCACAAACTGTGGTAGTGATTTTTGTTCCAGCCAGCATTATGACTGCAAAAATGCATGCACCAGTCTGTTTTGTTTGATGTCAAGTTTGTAGCTACGGGATGAACAAATCTGGCACGTTGCTGAAGCATTAAAGATGGTACCCAAGACAGCCTTGTGGTTGTTCCTTTTCCTGTTAGGATAATACCGCTACGGCCACGAGTTCGGTATTTTGAAAATTATTGAGGAAAACAAGTACAAAATCACAATAATATGCAAGTTTATTTTATTTGCCAAATATAACTCCATTAAAACTATCTGTAATTGTGTTGCCACCTTGCTTGTTGGTACGGGAGGAAAAGATACAGACTCCATCAAGCCGTTTCCATGCAGGCAGCTGCAAGGAGTCAACAGCAGCGTTCAGGGACAGAACTACCCTTTAGGAGGGGTAAGAAACCTGAAGGTCTGTGTGTTCCAAAGCTCCTCTAGTTTCTGCCTTCCCCTGCCACCCCCTGATCCTCTGACACCAGCAGCTGAGGCAACGCCCGGGTCTCTCATGGTGGCAGTTCACCACAGCTACGACATTCTTACTTCTCTACAGCAGTCAGTAACAGCTCGAGATGGAAACTGAGCTGGAGAGTGTGTGTTACCTGCACAGTGAATTAGTTGGGAATGGTTGTTCCTAAATAATCACGTTAGTACTTCTTTCTATCTGAATATTTACGTGGCACAGTGAGATACTGAGATAGCTCCAGAGTCCCTGTATGACACTGCACAGTGGCTTATTTTTACGATATACATAAATATAGGTAATGCTTTATAAACAGGTAATATTTCAGTTAAAGAACAAAACAGGCATCACATACTACATTTTAAAAGTCCACAAATATATATTAAATTGCAAAACCAAGGAATTGTAGGTTTTTTTAAAGCATTAAAATGCTTATAAGCAATATGTTCAGTTGCTGTTCAGCAGAAGCCTTTTTTTAATGAAGGACAGGAAGGGACAGGACTATACTGAAGGGAAAGGGAAATCTGGTTGGAAAGCAGCCCCCAGCCCCCCAGTAACTGACTACCAAATGACCTGGAGACAAGGTGCCTACCGCAGGTGCAGTACTTGGAGCTCTGCAACCTTGCTCCCTCCCACGAAAGAGAGTTCCTGCTGCAGCTGCCTGCTAAGACACTGCTGACGGGTATCTACCAATACGTCCGTCAGGCTCTTTAAGCCCGACCTGAGCGCCCAGCTGGGAAGGAAGGACATTTCCCATTTGGGTACCGGACCTGGAAGGCCCTCATCTTCCCGGTGGATACAAGAAGAGACAGGAAACCAAAATGCTACAGTCCGCTGGTCCGCTTCCATTTAGCAGCATTACTGCAGATTGTTTAAAAGCCATAACAAAAAGTTAAGATTAGGTCATCTCCTAGCTAGGATTAGGTCTTTAAGTTCTTACCTGTAATGAGTATAAATCACGGAATGCCTTATCAGGGATCGCGTTTATCTCATTGCTGTGCAGCATCAGTAACTCCAGTTTCTCCAGGCCAGAAAAATCTGTTTCGGTGAGTTTAAGCAAGCTGTTGTAGCTGCAACAAACATTGCATCCCAGACTTGCGTTTAGTCAGACAGCCACACTTCACAAGTTTTAAAGCAAATAAACAAAGCCCAAACAAAAGAACAACTCTTTGGAAATGCATACAGGTAGACAGCGCTTCTGGCTGCTAAGATGAGATCTTCAGTCGTTCCTTCCCGTTAGCACAAAACCTGGCAGCTTTTCCAGGGCAGCTTCCCGACAACCGCACTCACAGTGGGTATGGAACGCGCAGCCGAGAATGCCAGTTTTGGGCTTCGAACACCAAGTACCTACTCTGCGATGCCTCTGGCCTCGTGCGTGCTGCCACGCTTGCGCGAGCTGATTAGCTAACGCAGGGGGGTCCCGTCATGCTGCCCTCACCCCTCCCATGCCCCGTGGCGACACAGGGGTTGGATTAATCGACCAGCCAGGTAGATGGCCTTCCTGTAGGAGTAATTAATGTGCTTCAAACACGTCCCACACCTCAGGCAACCCACAGTGCTCTAAAAGTACTGGTACTTCATTGTAAGACTTCATACACAGCACTTCTGGACAACATCGACAAGATCGGTGGAAGGAAAGGGCAGACAGGAGTCAGGAGCTGGGATCGGGACACGCTGCCTGGAAGCAGCAGGCAGACGAGAGGAGGGGGAAGACTTCAACGAAAACTGCCTTTTACATCTTCTGCACGCACCTAGGAACGACTCGAAGGTTATGCGTATCAAAAGCGATAGGAGGATCAGCCCAGCAGCGCTGGCTGCTCTCCTCACGGACTGTGTGACAGCCGACACTTCCCGGGAACGGCGTTCACGTGCCAGCCCAGCCCGGGTATCATCGGTCCCCTGTTCCTTTCGAGCACTCACAGAGCCAGTTTGGAGGCTGAAACATTCGGACAAGCGTTATTTCCCATAAACTCGATAGATAGAAGCAGAGATACTAGCGTTGTGCGAGCCTTGAAGCCGCAGAGAAGCTGCTGCAGATTGCAACGCACATACTCATTTTCCAGCCCACTGCCCGAGCTCTGAACTATCGTTTCCCAGAAAGATTTCTCTCTGTTTCAGGCTCCTTCCGAGCTCCACGTTCCAGGTGCAAAACGTTTGGGTGATATAAAAGAATCCGTGTAAATTCTACACTTCTTGAAGCTCTCCCGTGCGTGCGGTGCGTCCCCAGAGCTCCCGCTTGGCGCTGGGGGTCTCGGGCTGCGCCAGTGGCC